CCGTGGGATTCCCGAGAAAAATGTCAGTCTCTAATGTACGTATGTACATACATACACGTACTCGGTCATCGATTCATGGGTTCTTGTTGATTGCATTAAAATTATTTCTAAGAGCATTAAAAATCAATAAATTAGAGTTTCTCATTCCTGTATAAACCTATTAAAGATCAGCAAGTTCTCATGTTTTAAGAGTGGTTAAGAAAAGTGGTCTCTATATTGTTGTACTTGTAAAACATACTAACAAAAATTTAGTTTTCCCTTTCCTGATCTCTGATCAATGCAATTAAGTATCAATGTTTTATGTGAGCTAATTTGAGTTTTAATTCATAAGTTAAATTTCATGATATGGATTATATTCCAGAACAGTTCCAGCTTCAGTGCGGTGGAGCGAGGATGAGTAGCAGACTAATGAGCAGGCTTAGCGGTGATGCATCCCGGCGTTTAGCTTCAGCCGTTCAGCCTCCCTGATGTTGCTGCTTGGTTTTCAGATGGAGGGGAGCTGTTCGTCTGGGGGAAGAACGTCAGAGGCTGCCTGGGCATCGGAAAGAGAGACGACCAATTCTTCCCCTGGAGAGTAAGAACAACGAACTATATATTTTCTTCTGATGGGGTTTGCTTTCTTTACAACCTTCTCCATTTTGACTTGATCTTTGTTGGAACTGAACGTCTTTTCAAATCTTCAGCTTCATAAGACGAAGTGTTAAAAAAGTCGGTAAAAAAAAAAAAAAACTGGCCACTAGTGCTTAAAATTAAAAACAAAAAAAAAGAAGCTCGACGCTGTAGATTTAGGTCCTGAACAGCAGTGATGTTATGAGATGAGCCGAGGCTTTGAGGCGCGCTTCATTTGGGGGAGGAGCCAAAATAGATGACATCTGAATCCTCGCTACCCCGCCATACCATGTGACCTCTTAGGGAAGTGGTTCAGCTCGCCCTGAACTCCATTTAAAGAGCCTCAGTTTTCAGTCAAGATGTGGGGATTTTTAGGAGAGTTCCGGTCAGTTGGATAAAGTTTGGGTAGATTCTGAGAATAGATGGTTAGGGAAAAAAAAGGAAACTAGTTGGTTAAATTTAGTTTGGTTAGATTAAACAATACAATGATCAAAATCTGAGTAAACCGCTGGTTACTGTTGTCACATTGGGTTTATGTAGAAGTAGCTAAAGATGGCAGAGCCTGAGTTTAACAACATCACAGCTTTGTGTTTAATGGAGGATCACCTTAGGAGCACATGAAGATGTCGCAGCAAGGAGAGGCGGAGGAAATTGTTCCAAAGAAGGGTTTTTGTAGTTTGGCAGTCTGGCAGTTTTTCGGTCA